GGCTCTGATACAAATTGATGCCGGACGAGAAAAAGAAGTCAAAAAATAAAAAGAGGAGAAAAAAGAAGAAGGGTCGAAAGAGATTTACCTCATTCGTATAAGAAATTGGTCAAGAGATACACAAATTCTCCAGAGAGAAAGCACTTTTATTAATATCAATCTCTAATAAAATAGTAGGGATTCCATCGATATTTATAGGTCTACTCTCCTACTAAAATTCTAAAAGAGTTTTATAATCAAACTCTTAAATTGCTATCCCACTAGAACTCTATAATAATTTCCTAGTCAAACTCTAACTAACAAATCTAGTCAAACAAATATTTCTTAAACAAATGAAAAATTCAACTCTTCAATTTAAGCTTATTCAATTCATTTTTAATCTCTATCAGATGGCATCCAATTAAAGCAAGAAAATCAACAAATTAAGCAAGTAGTTCTGAGCGCAATAGGCACACAACATTAATATTGCATGGCTGACACTTTATCCATAAGATAGAACCATAATCTTGTTCAACACACCAAAAGAAAAAAGAAACATTTACACCATTGAAAAAAACCTTGAAGTGGATCACATCACTCCAAATAAACATGTTGGAAGACTGCTGAATGGTTAGACCTNTATAGAACCATAATCTTGTTCAACACACCAAAAGAAAAAAGAAACATTTACACCATTGAAAAAAACCTTTAAGTGGATCACATCACTCCAAATAAACATGTTGGAAGACTGCTGAATGGTTAGACCTAACAAGTGTCATTCACCAATCTCAATTCGCAAAGCTACTTCACAAAAACCAACTCAAAACTTGGCAGCCTCTAAAAAGTTGGCCACTTGACACCATGCCACCATCACAATAACACCCCAACAACAAAAGGGTTAAAGTCGGTCCACAGAACACATACAAACAATTCCCCTTCAAAAACAAAACATATCCATCCTACTAGCCCTAAAAGGTAGACTAATAGAAGTTTCAACAGATTCTTTTAACTATCAAAAGCACAGTCCATAGTATAATCCTATGTCAGGTAAGATCCTCCAGCAAATCACAGGCGTAGCTCCTGCGAAGTACAGGCGCAGCTCCTGCAAATCACAGGCACAGCTCCAGAGACCTGTAGCCTTCTATCTCTCTCACGCAACCCATCTCCTCTCTCTCTGTGCGACNGGGCGTAGCTCCTGCGAAGCACAGGCGCAGCTCCGGAGACCTGTAGCCTTCTATCTCTCTCACGCAACCCATCTCCTCTCTCTCTGTGCGACAGATCTGTGTATATACATAGATCTGTGTTCAAATCTGTATATATACACAGATTTATGTGTGTGTATTTATGTGTGTGTGTGTGTATTGTGCGATGTATGTGTGTGCGATGGCTCTGTGTGTGTGTGTGTGTGTTTGTTGTACGTGTGGGTGTGTGTTGTGTGTGTGTGTGTTTGTGCTATGTGAGAAGACAACGGAAAGAGAGAGAACGCTGTTGTGAGAAGATAATGGAGAGAGGAGAGAGAGCAATTGTGTGACTCTAAAAGACATATTGCCTGACTAGAGAGAGAAAGATTTTATGGTGATAAATTTTTTTTTGGGTCAGAAGTGATAAATTAAAAATTAATTTTGTGGATCATTCTCCAAACAGGTTTTACTATTTTCTGTTCTTTAAAACTATTTTCAAAACTATATATAACCAAACAAGTTTTGTAATACAAAAATATCAAAAAACACTTTTTTAAAACTCTTCTCAAAATTTATTTTCAGATACTGTTTTTAGAGATGCAAACCAAACAGACCCCAATTTTTTAATCTTCTTGTCGCGATCTAGCAAATCTGGGTGATGACTCAACTATAATCAAATATTAAAGTTGCTCACGACGACAAGGGCTACACGTGGTACCAACCTCGTCTAATTACGATATCTTTCAAAAATTGGAATTTTGGCTCAAGATTAAGCCAAGGCTTGGGAAAGTTAGATTCGGGTTTTCTTAAAAGTTCTACCACGTGGATTCACAATACAAAAGGTAGGGTTTCCCCTATTTAGATATAATTTCAACCTAAAAGATAGCACATGAAATGGGTATGCTAAATGTGAGAATAACATATTAGCTCTTGACTAGTGTAACTAGTGGGTCAAATATAGGATTTATAGTTAATCTTTTAATTAGTGAAATTCTATTATGATTAATTTGGTGTAAGTTAATATTAGTGATTTAAAGCATGTTAGTTGTACATTTGCATGACTTAATGTTTTAATGACATATCAAGTTTAATAGAACTATTAGCTTATTATGTGATTATGAGATAATATATATGTTAAATGATCATTTAGCATATAATTAATGTGGTAAAATTGTGTTTATATTTATAGAATTAATAAACATGTCATTATGTTGGAATAATGAGCTTGCTAGTGTGTAAATTGATGTGTCATCTAAGTGAATACAACTATATTAGTTGAGTTGATTATCTTGCATAACATGTTTAGGATGGTGTTGAAAATGTCNTAATGAGCTTGCTAGTGTGTAAATTGATGTGTCATCTAAGTGTTTGTTTAAATGTCTAAGTGAATACAAGTATATTAGTTGAGTTGATTATCTTGCATAACATGTTTAGGATGGTGTTGAAAATGTCGTTATATTATATTCATTATATAATTGACATTGTAAATGGTATCGGAGGCAATTGCACATTGCATTGCATTACGCATAGGTTACACTATATTCATGGGCGTTGACATGGGTAGGAGTGTATAAATTGTATAAAATCAATCATCATATACGTGGGTTGATCGTGGGCTCGGAAAAATAACACCAAGGTCCAGTTGAGTTGCAAGAAAAATTAAATGGATAAACGTGTCAAGGTGCAACAAGAAGGACTAAATTCTCCTTCGGGTGTAAGACCCGGTTACTTAGTTTATACCGTTCCCGACGATGAAATTCTACAAAAGTATCGCATATGGGATGTCCTGAAAATCTGTTAATAGTGTGGTGTCTCATTGGTAAAATAATATAAATCATCGTCCCACAAAGACACAAAAAATTAATTAATTAGTCATTGAGTGTACATAACACCAATGGCGGGGCTTAAAGTGCCATGAAACATACACATGGCATTGCATGTGTTGTAGGAGTCCAGGATGGGGCTCAGTGTTGGTATTACATGCGTGAGTCTCATCTCATAGCATAACATAATTTATGACATTTGTTCATAATAGATATGTTTGAATAAATGCATGAAATGATTGTTGTGCGTAATATTTCATATGCATTTAGGTTGGGAGGCATTCTCTATAGGAGTTACCCTATTGAGCATTGGCTCACCATTAATGGAAACATTTTTTAGATTTCGCATGGACTTTCGCCAAAGGCCCTCCTATGGGCCCGCTTTGACGACAGAGCCGGATTGTGGCTCTTATTTTAATGTTGTAGTTCCTTGTATATGTTTTTTTTTTGGCCATATATAATTTTTGTAAACAAAAACTTATTTTATATTAAAAAGACATGTGTATGGGACTCTTTTGAGATATTTATTTTTTTATAAATTAATGTACGTAGAGATGATGATTATGATAGTATCTGATACTATGCAACGGAATATGGATGAATGGACACGGTGTTGCCAATGTTGTATGATTACATAGGTTGTGTTTTGGATAGATCTCTCCGTACAAAGGAGACTATGCTCAAATTTTGTTAAGTTATGAATCCCGATAAATGGAGCGTAATGGCGTAGTATCGAGTTATATGGTAATCCACGGATATTTCGCAGAGTGATGAGTGACCAATAGGTTAAACAGACCCTCATAAATTAGAGCATCACAAAATTAACTTTTCACCAATTGCAACCCACAGAAAGTATCAATTGTCTATCTTAGGGTGGAGTTGTTTGGTTTGGGGGTTGGGAAGGGGAGCAAAAAGAGAGAGATGATACTAAAATCATAAAACATCATTGCAGACACTGTCGATGCATATTCGGGCTAATCTAAATTGATGATGTCTCAACCCAAACTAGCTTGTAGAAGGATTAAATGATACATATACTACTTATCAGCAAATTCAACACCACTCAGAAGGCAAAATTGTTTCTATGAAGCACTAGAAATGTAAATCAAAAAAAAAAAAAAAGAATGTCATGCATATCACCACATTCATTACATGCAAAAAAAACTCTAGATGAAGACTAAACTAAGTTATAGTTTCCCTCTAGCTAGGAGAGTGCAAATCTGCTCATCATATAACAAACAATAAATGAAGACCAAACTAAGTTATAGTTCTTTTTTGTCAAAATCGAAAGCACAAAAACAAAAAAGAAAATCATTTTTAGGCGAAAAGGCAACAAGTACTCATCTCCTATACAAAAATGAAATAATAAACTGAAGACAAATCAAGCAACCAAAATAATACCTATGGAATGATAATCAATAGAATCAGCAACTGAACGCCTTTCAGACTNGTAGAGATGATGATTATGATAGTATCTGATACTATGCAACGGAATATGGATGAATGGACACGGTGTTGCCAATGTTGTATGATTACATAGGTTGTGTTTTGGATAGATCTCCCCGTACAAAGGAGACTATGCTCAAATTTTGTTAAGTTATGAATCCCGATAAATGGAGNATAGAGATGATGATTATGATAGTATCTGATACTATGCAACGGAGTATGGATGAATGGACACGGTGTTGCCAATGTTGTATGATTACATAGGTTGTGTTTTGGATAGATCTCTCCGTACAAAGGAGACTATGCTCAAATTTTGTTAAGTTATGAATCCCGATAAATGGAGNACGAAACTAAACATTGAGATCTGAGATTTTTAAATGAGGGGTGGCTATTGCTTAAAATAGCTAAATTTTGTTGCCTGAGTGAAGCAAGCATGTGCATACCATACAAAGACGATTATTAATTAGCATTTAGCACAACACCATTAGCACCTAGAAAAAATCACATGCTACAATGAGAACTAAAAACTGGTGCACGTGAAAGTATTTTTCTGGTATTTCAGGGCTTGATACTAAATGAATAGTGTATTCTGCCACAAAAGATGAATAAAGCCATCAGTATTCCCTCTATTCTACAAAGCAAAAGCATTAATGTGGGAGAAAGAAAAGGCAAAGGTCGGAAGTTAGACCATCCCACAGACATGGTGATTTCCAACATTGGCTTACAGCTTACTATTACTAATTAGAAAACATGGGATTGTGTAAGCTTACAATTTCTAATTATAAAGCATCAGTGCGCTACACTGGGGGTGTGCTTACACATGGATTTGTGTGCCCTTATAGTCTCCACATGCAAATAAGCATACATAACCACAATACATTTCAGAAGAGACGCAACACTTGATTCAAATGCTTCACTTAAAAAAAGGATTTAAAGATCCACTATAGGCATTTTAAAAAATCACATGAAAGACAAGATACCCAACTAAGAAGCTTTCTCGAAATATTATGAGTAAAACTTCTGTACACACAAAATAGGCAAAATTTCAAATTATTGCTACCAATGCAGACCATCATTTATTTATCGCAATAAAAGAAACACCTGTTGAAAATCCTTGAGTGCTTCCTTGAACTTCCCCATTGCCAAATGTGCCGCTCCCCGCCTATAATAACCCTGAAATAATCACCCAAGTGAAAACGTTAAAAAAAAAAAAAAAAAGACGTCAAATCTTCAGACAAAAAATACACAGAACCTACCTTTGAATATCTGGGATCAATTTCAACAGCCTTTGTTGCATCCTGTATAGCACTGCCATATTCCTCTAATTTAGTGTGCGCAAACGCACGATTTGCCCAGTATACCGCATTTTCACAGTTTAATTCAATCGCTTGTGTGTACAAATCAATGGCTAGTGAATATTTATGGGCTGAAAAGAGATAATTATTTACAGATTGTTAGCACCAAAACCCATTAATATGGTGTTTCTTTGTGGGTGGGTTGCCGGTAAATTGTGAGATCGAATTTACCTTGGAAGGCTTCATTTGCTTGGAATTTGAGTTCTTCCGCGCGTGAAGTGTTTGAGCTTTCAGTTTCCATAGAGGGCATAATAATGGTTGACGCTGCCTGTGTGGAGAAAGTTAACCGATTCTTTCCAAGACAAGTGTTTTGGATTGTTATAGACTGTTCTCCGTCTGTCTTGGCGCGCTGAGAGACAGCGTTTGACGGAGCTAGCCCTAGAGAGTTCCGGCTCCTCTACTGTTATCATTAGATTATGGGTAAACTTCACTCTATCCCTTGTGGTTTAGCCTATTTGTACATCACCCCCGTAAGATTCCAAAATAGCACATAACCATCCCGTGCTTGTTTGACTAAAATACATAGTTTATTCTGTTAACGGTTATAAAAGAAAATGACATTAATACCCATCATTTTAATTTAAAAAAAAAAAAAAATTAGGCCAACTCAACTCCGATAGTCATCCTCACGTTCACCATTAACTCCGGCAGTTCAGTCATCCCCACATTATCATCAACTCTGATTGAACGGAATTATATAACAAACGTAGCGGAATTTAAAATTAATAATTTATTTTTTCATGCCAATATCTGTTTTTGTTTAATACAAAATCTATAAACCTTAGATCTGTAGCGAATGTTAATATTTACCTCTTGAATCTTGTTTTTAACAATCTTTAAGTTTTCTCGAAAATTTTATATATTCAAATCTAAATTTGATCTTTACCAAAGGCCTTACAATCGTTTGGCCTCTATCGATATCCACACAAATTGACAAACTTGAATAATTTACTTCAAACTTTGATAAACTAGTAGAGAGAGAATGAAAAGTGATTCTTCTTATGCTAGAGCCTTAAAATATTTTAATCTTAGTTTGAGTCGAGTTGCAATTATCTTATAATTATATATAACATTTTTATTAATCATTACTTGTAATAAAATTCTTAATTAACCTTTAATTAGGTTTTCATCCCAATTAACTATTAATTGATTTTATCTCCTTTATTCTTTAGTTTTCAATTAATTATATTGTGTGTGACCTTATAGGTTCAAACATACCCAATTATAGGTATTCAACATTAATTATAAGTAGCACCTCAAATTATAACTCTTTTTAATTTAGTTTGAATTGTAACTCTTTTAACTCTCCATTTTATAAATACACAATTAATATATTTATATTAATTTTGTTATTCATACTTCTACTAATTATGAATGACATCTAACAGTATATCATGATCAACTTTCGAATAACACGAAGAAAGTAAATAATTCATTTAGTTTACGGTTACCATACAATTCAATCCTTATATCACATAATGGTCTAATTGAATCTCTAGGGTATGAAATTATTGTTAAACACTTAACTCAATCTTATGTGTGCNTTTAACAATCTTTAAGTTTTCTCGAAAATTTTATATATTCAAATCTAAATTTGATATTTACCAAAGGCCTTACAATCGTTTGGCCTCTATCGATATCCACACAAATTGACAAACTTGAATAATTTACTTCAACCTTTGATAAACTAGTAAAGAGATAATGAAAAGTGATTCTTCTTATGCTAGAGCCTTAAAATATTTTAATCTTAGTTTGAGTCGAGTTGCAATTATCTTATAATTATATATAACATTTTTATTAATCATTACTTGTAATAAAATTCTTAATTAACCTTTAATTAGGTTTTCATCCCAATTAACTATTAATTGATTTTATCTCCTTTATTCTTTAGCTTGCAATTAATTATATTGTGTGTGACCTTATAGGTTCAAACATACCCAATTATAGGTATTCAACATTAATTATAAGTAGCACCTCAAATTATAACTCTTTTTAATTTAGTTTGAATTGTAACTCTTTTAACTCTCCATTTTATAAATACACAATTAATATATTTATATTAATTTTGTTATTCATACTTCTACTAATTATGAATGACATCTAACAGTATATCATGATCAACCTTCGAATAACACGAAGTAGGTAAATAATTCATTTAGTTTACGGTTACCATACAATTCAATCCTTATATCACATAATGGTTTGAATCTCTAGGGTATGAAATTATTGTTAAACACTTAACTCAATCTTATGTGTGCGATCTTAAGACTACAACTCGATCAATTAAAAACTCGTTTTCTCTAATTGTCATTCTGCCTTGACCAATAACTACTTGAGTCATATATTATAATATCACATAGGACATTCTCCTTTTATTTATTAAGGGTGATATATTTCATGTTATGCACTCGTAAATCTCTGTGCATGTCTAACTATGTCCAACAATACATATATAAATTACATGGTTAATATATGAATATATTGTATAGTTAAAATATAAAAGTTCATGCACAAGACAACCATAATGTCTAAAGTCTAAGGATTAATTGTACAATTATAACTTCAGGATTTAACATTGACAAGTATGTAAAGATTCATATGAAAAATCTTACGCTAATCAATGATCACGTTCAATGTATTTGTTCTATAAAAAGCACATACACACTTGCTTCAGTGTTTTTACACTAGTGACTTAGACGAGTCACCTCATATCAAATATAAGTAAATATAGTGTATTCTTGTTTATCCTTGATTATACAGTGCTCACACAGTAATCCTATAACTAAGAACATGTAAAAGTTAAATACTAAGAAGTATAAGTCTCATATTTTTAACATTTTAAGATAGTATAATTGTATACTAATTATAATTTTTTAAGAAAAAAATAATTTTTTATTTTTTATTTTATTTCAATAAATAACATAATAGAACGTGAATTTTAGTTGTAAAATTCATGTTTTATTATGAATGACTTTGTCTCTTTATTTGTTTTTTTAGTTTTATTCAAATAAATAATATAATTATACACTAATTACAAATTTTTAAGAAAAAAATAGGTTTTTTTTTAATTTTTGATTTTATTTCAATAAATGATACAATAAAAAATAAAATTTGGTTATAAAATTTTAAAATTTTGATATTTTATCTTTAATTAGAATATTTTTAGTTTAAGTATAATATTTTAAATTTGAGAAATATAAATATTATACGCTTACAAATTTCAGAGAATTTGAATATAATTTATTAATAGAAATTTGACGCGCGGGATATAAGGGTTAAGTGCATACAAACTTTAGGATTTGAACGTAATATCTTAAATATCAAGATCTGAATAAAAGTAATACCCTTCAAGGGGGTTCTTCTCGTGATTCGATCTTTTGGAAAACCCTGCTTATCAAAAGACATTTGGAAACCCACGAGCGTATTGGGGCGTGTAGTTAATGTTATTCTCTGCTAATTGAAAACCGAAGCTACCAAGCTTGTGAAACCTTTTATTTCTTTGATCTGGATCGCGGGTTTCTGAAATTTCTCTCTCACCAATTGCTTCAGGTATTTTCTTGGCCTATTTATATCACTTGATTCAGTAACTTCACGTGCACAGATTTATGCATCAGAACACTTTATGATGTGATGGATTTGATGTTTAATGAGGTAATCTTACAAACGAAAGTAATATATGTGAATTCACTTTAATTGCAAATCTGTTTGTTTGGTTGATATTCTTTGAACTCGGTCGATGTTCAATAAGTTCATTACTTATAGTTCTCCATTTTGTCGCTGTTAAACAATGTAGGGTAAATTTAATTCTAAGTTTTTTTTGATTTCAGCAATGTCCAGGCGTGAGAACAAGTTACCTAAGTCATGGATTGGTATTCGGAACGGTCAAGTTGCAGTTTTGCTCATATTTTTGGCTCTGATCTTTGTAGCTATAATACTATATTCTCGTCACAACATTGAAAAACCCAGTTCTTCATATGGGCCCATGAAGCTAAAATGGAATAGCTTTGAGTCTTTGGTTAAGTTTGATCCAACTGTGGAATTTATGAATGGAACGGATGTGATATGGCAAATACCTGATTCGCCTAAGGCAGTTCTCTTTCTTGCTCATGGGTGCAATAACAAAGCTGTTAATTTTTGGGATAGATCTCCTAAGTGCCTGAAATGTGTTGGTATGCCTGAAGATAGACTACTTGTCCTTCATGCTCTTACTCGGAATTTCGCGGTAATTACTGTTTCAAGTAGAGGGAGGTGCTGGTCATTTGGGAAGGAAAGATTACTTGTTAAAGGAATTATCAATTGGTGGGTTGAGAAACATAAGCTTGAGAAGCTGCCTCTTGTAGCTTTGGGGGCCTCCTCTGGTGGGAACTTTGTTTCTGTGCTTGCCACGGATTTAAGATTTAACAGCATTACGATAATGATTGCTGAAGGATTTTTTGATCAGATGGATATAACGAAGGACTATCCACCTACCCTTTTTGTGCATATGCCCAAAGATGAAACTAGGAAGCAGAAGATAGATGAAAATATGAGAATCCTAAAGGACAAAGACATCGACACTGCAGAGATTAAATGCATGGAATTTCCCTTGTCACATAATTTCTTAGCTTACAGGATTCCAGGTCTTGATCATTCTATCTCAGTGAAGCTGTTTAATCTATTACAGGACAAGGGCTTCATTGACAAGAATGGTTATATGATGAAGGATGGGCGTGCAACACCGTGGAAAGCAGCTCTCAAGCAGAGCAAGATTCATTTAGCAAATAAGTCTCTGGTCAATCACATTCAAGAGGAACTGAATCTTGCATTTTCATATCATGAAATGACTAGCTTACAGTCTGACCAAATATTTGAGTGGTTTGAATCCCATATGAGCTGATCAAGGCTATCTGCTGTCAGATTCTTCCTTTTGTCACCCTTGAAAGAGCATCATAGGCAGTTCATCAATCCAGATGACTTCAGAACTCGAATGAAAGTTTAGACAAACTTATTAGCATTTTGAACAGAACACCCAAACTGGGAACATCAGCAAGGACCGTCGATTGTCAATCTTCTTTACAATTTGCCTAGTTCGTCAGAAAGGAAAGGTATGATGATGGCTTCTTGGATGAGTAAGATAAAGCTACAAATGTTCATACTTACATCATGAGGGTGCGTAGTACATAAACCTTGGTTTCCACAGAACATGCGTACTGTTAGATGCAGAAAATTAGAAGCCTCACATTCTAATTTTCTTCTTGATCACAAGTGTTGTTACTATTGTACGATACGTGATACATATTTAAATGCAACTAAATATCCATGCATGGATGAAATGCAGATTAAACCTAGAATGCAATTGTTATATTTAACATTAAATGCATAAAGACCATGGTAATGAATAACGGTAACGGCCACCGAAATGGTAACGATAACAGTGTAACGGACGCGGGGTGAAACGGGTGCTACATAATGGTAACAAAAAACCACAGGTGTNCTAAGAACATGTAAAAGTTAAATACTAAGAAGTATAAGTCTCATATTTTTAACATCTTAAGATAGTATAATTGTATACTAATTATAATTTTTTAAGAAAATTTTTTATTTTTTATTTTTTATTTTATTTCAATAAATAACATAATAGAACGTGAATTTTAGTTATAAAATTCATGTTTTATTATGAATGACTTTGTCTCTTTATTTGTTTTTTTAGTTTTATTCAAATAAATAATATAATTATACACTAATTACAAATTTTTAAGAAAAAAATAGGTTTTTTTTTAATTTTTGATTTTATTTCAATAAATGATACAATAAAAAATAAAATTTGGTTATAAAATTTTAAAATTTTGATATTTTATCTTTAATTAGAATATTTTTAGTTTAAGTATAATATTTTAAATTTGAGAAATATAAATANTTTATCTTTAATTAGAATATTTTTAGTTTAAGTATAATATTTTAAATTTGAGAAATATAAATATTATACGCTTACAAATTTCAGAGAATTTGAATATAATTTATTAATAGAAATTTGACGCGCGGGATATAAGGGTTAAGTGCATACAAACTTTAGGATTTGAACGTAATATCTTAAATATCAAGATCTGAATAAAAGTAATACCCTTCAAGGGGGTTCTTCTCGTGATTCGATCTTTTGGAAAACCCTGCTTATCAAAAGACATTTGGAAACCCACGAGCGTATTGGGGCGTGTAGTTAATGTTATTCTCTGCTAATTGAAAACCGAAGCTACCAAGCTTGTGAAACCTTTTATTTCTTTGATCTGGATCGCGGGTTTCTGAAATTTCTCTCTCACCAATTGCTTCAGGTATTTTCTTGGCCTATTTATATCACTTGATTCAGTAACTTCACGTGCACAGATTTATGCATCAGAACACTTTATGATGTGATGGATTTGATGTTTAATGAGGTAATCTTACAAACGAAAGTAATATATGTGAATTCACTTTAATTGCAAATCTGTTTGTTTGGTTGATATTCTTTGAACTCGGTCGATGTTCAATAAGTTCATTACTTATAGTTCTCCATTTTGTCGCTGTTAAACAATGTAGGGTAAATTTAATTCTAAGTTTTTTTTGATTTCAGCAATGTCCAGGCGTGAGAACAAGTTACCTAAGTCATGGATTGGTATTCGGAACGGTCAAGTTGCAGTTTTGCTCATATTTTTGGCTCTGATCTTTGTAGCTATAATACTATATTCTCGTCACAACATTGAAAAACCCAGTTCTTCATATGGGCCCATGAAGCTAAAATGGAATAGCTTTGAGTCTTTGGTTAAGTTTGATCCAACTGTGGAATTTATGAATGGAACGGATGTGATATGGCAAACACCTGATTCGCCTAAGGCAGTTCTCTTTCTTGCTCATGGGTGCAATAACAAAGCTGTTAATTTTTGGGATAGATCTCCTAAGTGCCTGAAATGTGTTGGTATGCCTGAAGATAGACTACTTGTCCTTCATGCTCTTACTCGGAATTTCGCGGTAATTACTGTTTCAAGTAGAGGGAGGTGCTGGTCATTTGGGAAGGAAAGATTACTTGTTAAAGGAATTATCAATTGGTGGGTTGAGAAACATAAGCTTGAGAAGCTGCCTCTTGTAGCTTTGGGGGCCTCCTCTGGTGGGAACTTTGTTTCTGTGCTTGCCACGGATTTAAGATTTAACAGCATTACGATAATGATTGCTGAAGGATTTTTTGATCAGATGGATGTAACGAAGGACTATCCACCTACCCTTTTTGTTCATATGCCCAAAGATGAAACTAGGAAGCAGAAGATAGATGAAAATATGAGAATCCTAAAGGACAAAGACATCGATACTGCAGAGATTAAATGCATGGAATTTCCCTTGTCACATAATTTCTTAGCTTACAGGATTCCAGGTCTTGATCATTCTATCTCAGTGAAGCTGTTTAATCTATTACAGGACAAGGGCTTCATTGACAAGAATGGTTATATGATGAAGGATGGGCGTGCAACACCGTGGAAAGCAGCTCTCAAGCAGAGCAAGATTCATTTAGCAAATAAGTCTCTGGTCAATCACATTCAAGAGGAACTGAATCTTGCATTTTCATATCATGAAATGACTAGCTTACAGTCTGACCAAATATTTGAGTGGTTTGAATCCCATATGAGCTGATCAAGGCTATCTGCTGTCAGATTCTTCCTTTTGTCACCCTTGAAAGAGCATCATAGGCAGTTCATCAATCCAGATGACTTCAGAACTCGAATGAAAGTTTAGACAAACTTATTAGCATTTTGAACAGAACACCCAAACTGGGAACATCAGCAAGGACCGTCGATTGTCAATCTTCTTTACAATTTGCCTAGTTCGTCAGAAAGGAAAGGTATGATGATGGCTTCTTGGATGAGTAAGATAAAGCTACAAATGTTCATACTTACATCATGAGGGTGCGTAGTACATAAACCTTGGTTTCCACAGAACATGCGTACTGTTAGATGCAGAATATTAGAAGCCTCACATTCTAATTTTCTTCTTGATCACAAGTGTTGTTACTATTGTACGATACGTGTTACATATTTAAATGCAACTAAATATCCATGCATGGATGAAATGCAGATTAAACCTGGAATGCAATTGTTATATTTAACATTAAATGCATAAAGACCATGGTAATGAATAACGGTAACGGCCACCGAAATAACGGACGCGGGGTGAAACGGGTGCTACATAATGGTAACAAAAAACCACAGGTGTGAATTTTTTTTTTTTCAATTTATAACCCCCATAGAACATGAATATTTACATGTTTTAACTCTAAAATCATGCAAATATTAGTGTTTAGTGATTTTTAGTGCATTTTATTGTATCATAAACATGAAAACGACACAATAAAAGTGTTTATAATATTTTTTTAAGTCACCATGCAGTGAGATTAAACATCAGTTTCATTAACATAAATTAAACAAATGAGATACATAATTGTAAATGTAACAATTTATTAAATGAAGCATGTTCATAGAATCATATTGATTTTAAGCATTCATACAATGAAAGAGAGAAAAGTAATAATACTACCTCTGAAGAGTCTCACCACCAAAATAAGCAGCGTGGAGGATTCAAATATTAAGATTGAGATTGATCTTGGTTAATTCCACTATCATCACTTCATCCCGTGGGCAACATATAAGTAAATGATCCAACTTCAACTCCATCTTGTCGTGTTTGCTCTTCATATGAATGCAATGTCAAATAGTTGGAAGGACCTAAAGGCTCTCAGGATTCATCTTCGGGAGGTAAATTGGGAGGGTAGTGCTAAATGTTAAGTAGGGTGATAAATAGCTTGAGGAGGGTAACCATTGAGATAGGGTACATAATTTTCACTTGGGTGGCTTGATAGTTGGTAATTTTCGTTACCACTACCATACGATGCATCACTAAGTGTGAAATCACTCAAACTCTATATAATACTAGATAAGAAATCTTCATATTCAAGCCAATTTTTCTTATTTTTGCTTTATTTTTTTCGCCGCCTTGATTGTTGACCATAAGATTCTGGATCATCTCTAGAAGCAACAAGTCTAGGATCCCCTTGCTCCCCGCGAAACGGTGAGTCATAACCATNTTTTTTCGCCGCCTTGATTGTTGACCATAAGATTCTGGATCATCTCTAGAAGCAACAAGTCTAGGATCCCCTTGCTCCCCGCGAAACGGTGAGTCATAACCATGACCACTACTCCCACCCTGAATTGGAAAGTTACCCTCGTGATTTTCATCACAAAATCCACTTAGACTAACAAATTGATGACCCCCCATCACCACCACCATCATCATTATCATTATCATTGTCAGTACACCATTATCACTTTCGGTTGGAGCAGGAATAGAATCAGAGCATTGGTCATCATATGACTCAGAGCAAGGTATGTATTCATTATCACCATCTTCACCAAAAAAAAATCATCCAAGTTAATGGTTCTTTCCTTTCTTCTAACCGTGGATTAAGTGGATCATCCTCATGAAAAATGTAATCCTGGTTGATAGTATTAGAGCTGTTTTCAATGTCTTGTTGGTTGTTTTGCATAATATGTCTAATCTTCAATTTCATGTTATAATGAATGAAAACAAATTTTTGCAGTTTAACATATTTCAACTTATTTTCAGTCTTGGTGTGAATAAGACTCCATGTTTCCAATTGCGCTCACAACCAGATAACGAAGTTGTCTGGCTCAATACCTTAACTGCTATACTTTGAAATTCAGGAGCACATGAGGCATGAGCCATAAAGAATCCACCATTCATCTGCACNTTCTGGCTCAATACCTTAACTGTTATACGTTGAAATTCAGGAGCACATGAGGCATGAGCCATAAAGAATCCACCATTCATCTGCACAAATTTTTTTTAATGAATTGATAAATAAATAAATATACATTGACTGCATACTATAATTTAAATGAGTTTCATAAATTATAAATAAGATTACCAGGATTTGTTTTATTGACTGCTGCTTGTGCAATATTTGATCCAAATGTTTATGATTTATCTTGAAACAAAAATATTTGCATATGTTATAATTCCCAAGTAATGCATATTAGATTACACGTCATTGAAACAATAAATAAATAAAATCTAGGACTAAATCAACATTACACAAGAATTGCATACCTGATTTATTGCTTTAATTTGACATTCCTTGTTCGGTTCCAACTTTTGTATCACCTTTTGCATTCCTTCCATGTTTTCTCTAAATGTCTCTTTGGAGGTGGTGATCCCATATTAGAATTATTGATTCAAGAAGTAACCTATTCATATAGAAATATTAACTTTGTGTTTGTTATGACTACTCCACACATATA